GTTACTGCAAGTTACTAGACATCAAACTACCTTCTTTTAAAAGCTTGCATATTCGGATCTTCTCTAGAATTAAGAGCACTGTATTAGCTTTCCAACACTCTAATAAAGTAATTGAGATAATGAAATTATAAAGAGAAAAGATTAGGGCTGGAGATGTGGCTCGGTGGTTTTAGAGGGTTCAGTCCATGACTGGGCAAACCCAGTGCTTTTCGGCCTCTGGTGGGGTTGCTGACTGCAGTGATGGTGAGTGCACAGTGGAGCAAGCTGCTCATGACCGTGAAGCAAAAGAGAAAAGAAGGAGCTGGGGCCTCACAGACCCTTTGAGGACATGCCCTAGTCACCTAAGGACCTCCCACGTGGACCTTCCTTCTAAAGGTCCACAGAACCTCCCAATGGTGCCACCCTAAGGACCACACCTTTAACACAGGGATGTTTGGGAGACATCAACACCCAAACCACAGCAGGAATTAATGAGGACTTACTGTATCGGTCCTACTCACTGTTGTATATTAAATAACTTCAATGTAGAGGCAATCAATATTTAATAATTAGAAGAAACCTCAGAAAATAAAGAATAATATTTACCAGGTTTTATTGAATATTATGAAACTTTCTCACACCTGTTTGAAATATATATTTCTTGTCCTTTTAATACAATGTAAATTCACTGGATGATAAAAGTCGGCAAGGAAAAAAAGGCAGCTAGTAATTTTTTATTGTACATTCATGGATCTTAATTGTTGAAATATGAATTATAGCAAAATTTGCTGCTACAAACACTAGGTAGTGTATTCAAATCCCAGTTGGTTTAAAAACAGTTATTCACTTTGAGATCCTTGTACAACCAAAAGTCAAAATATATTATTTCTAAACAGTTGATATTCTGATAGTAGTCTAGGTCATACAGGTCTTATCAATTTCTTTCTGCTGAGTTGTATTAGTCAGCTTTCCTGTCAAAAAAATTTAAATTTATTACAGTAAAAGATACATTGCCATTAATCCACTTCATAGTGCTCCTCTTCAGTTTGAATACACTTGTCCCATCATTCTTGGGACATTCTGCAACAGTTCTGGAACTTTCTGCAGCAGTTTCATGAGTTTCTTAATGAGGTGTGATAAGAATATGGTAAAGGCTGCTACTGCATGCATCTATCCAATGCAAAGGCAGATTCATAAAAGCATTGCAATGTGACCCCATCCAGTTTCCCCACTGGCCTGGCAGTGTGTGGCTTCTGGCTCTTGCTCAAAGTCAAAGTGATCATGAAAGATTAACATTCTGAGTAGATTCAGGTGATCGAGGCACCCACTGCAGGACAACTTAGGACACTCATGAAAGAGGGCTTCCATAAATGCTTTAGAAAATGGCAAGAACAATGTGTTCAAAGAGAGGGAGAATCTTTTGAGGGGGATTAATGGCCATGTGCCTTCTACTTTAATATATTTTTTAAAAATTTAAACATTCAGCATATTTTTTTAATCTCACCTTGCACTAGTATCTCAATCAACAACATGTAAGATAAGAAACAAGAGATTATAGCTAAAGCAACTGGAACTTTTTATAATGCTCAGAAGGATGAGCATATTGATTACATTCAGGATTTATGTCAAGAATGCATGATAAATTTGTGGAGAAATGGATCACTCATACATTGGTGGTGAGAATGTAAAATTGTATAGCCACTCTGGAAAAGAGTCTGGCAGTTCTTTTCAGAACTAAAAATGGACTTACCACACAACCCAGCAATTAGGTTTTTGGGCATTTATCCCAGAGAAATGAAGGCGTGTTTTCATGCAGGGCTTGCGCATGAATGTTCATAACAGCTTTATTCTTAACAGCCTCGAACTGGAGAATACTCAAGTGCCATTCGATGAGTGAATAGTTAAACCAACTGTGATCCATCTGCACCATGGATGGTATTCAGCAATTAGGAGGAATGAACTAGTGGTACAGCAACCTTGGATGGACCTTAAGGAAATTGTGCTAGGGGGGAGCCAATTTTAAAAGTATACATACTTTATGATTCTACTTATGTAACATGTGCAAAATTTACAAAGGTGGAAGTTAGTGGCTGTTGTGGCTTGCTAATGGGGAAGAGAGAAGATAGTGTATCTATAACAAGGAAATAGAAGACAGTCTTATGGTGCTGAACCAAGGAATAGCTTGATTCTAGTGGCTATACACACACACACAAGTGTGTGTCACTGGTAACAGATCTATTTGCTGGTTTTGATATTTTGCTCTTGTGTAAGATGTTAACATGGGGGCGTGTGACTGGCAGAAGGATGCATAAGATCTGCCTGTACAGTTCTTTGCACCCTACTATGAGTCCATAATTATTTCAAATTTTAATTTTAATAGTAATTACTGAAAGAATAGAAATAACGTATAGAACTCCACAACCTTGAGAGTAGGGTGGAGGAGAGAATAAGGGGAGTTCAACCAATTCCAAGAGCATGTGGGAAAAGAAAGGAAAGAAAAAGCAAGATCGCTATGGACACAAAAAGAGACAGTAGCCATAAATGAAAATATATTAGTAGTCACAATAAGTATACATATATTAGTGTCTACTTTTAGGGGCTGAGGTAGAGCTCTTGCCTTGCATGAGGGTCCAAGGCCCTGGGTTCAATCCCCAACACCACAAAAAAAGAAAAGAAAAAAAGGCCATAGCCTAAATGCCCCATTTGGCAGTCAGTATTCTTTAATCTAGTTATGTCTTACATAAAGTGACTCAAGTAAAGTGTAATGATACAGTGGTGTTGGGATGGATGGATGGATGGATGAATGGATGGAGGGATGGGAAAATATTGGTCAAAGGATACAAAATTCCACATAGGTAGAAGGAATAAAAATAAATAGAGTTCTAGTGTGTTCAACATGGTAATTATAGCTAACAATATATTATACTCTTGAAAAACGCTGAGAGTAGTTGTAAAGTGTGCTTACCATGAATGGTAACTATGTGAGTAATGCATATGGTAATTAATGATGTAGTAATTGCACAATGTACATAAACTTCAAAATGCCATCTTCTACATACACTTCTGTCAATTAAAAAATTTTTAATGTAATGACACAGAAATGTTCAAAGTGAGGTAGGCATGGTGGTGCACACCTATAATCCCAGCACTCAGGAGGCTGAGACAGGAGGGTCACTGGGAGTTCAAGGCCAACCTTAGCTATGTAGTGAGTTTAAGGCCAGCCTGAACTGCATAGGAAAACTGTATCTCAAAAAACAAACAAAAAAATAAACATTCAAAGTGGAGTGATGTGGGAAGAGGCAAATATCAAAAGAAAGCAGTTACAATATTATCTGATAGAATAAATTTTAAGGGAAAATTATTGAAATTAAGGGTCAATACATAATGATCAAAGGAGTAATTAAGTGGGAAGTAAAATGATCCTGAACTTGTATATACCAAAGCTATAGCCTTAAATTATCTAAACTAAAACTGAGTAACTCTGAAAGGAAAAAATAGATAAATCCATGTTTCTGCAGATTTTTAATATAGCACCCCTCCCAACTGATAGGTGAAACAGTCCAAATTTAATAAGGATGTTGCAAATCTGAGCAATGGATTAATGGAAATAGAATGTATAAAGGGAGATAGAATAGTATATATGTAATTACAATATTAACTATTGAATTGGCAGGGTAGTACTAGAAATTGAAGCCAGGTCCTTTGCATTGAGTAATATCCCCAGCCCTTTTTATTTTTTGTTTTAAGATAGGATCCTACTAAATTGCCCAAGCTAGTATCGAACTTGTGATCTTCCTCCCTCAGGCTCCCAGAGTGCTGGGACTATGGGCATGTGTCATCACCTCTAGGCAATACTTTTCTTTTGCTGCATACACTGAAGACATAAAATTGGATCACACACTACCAGTGAAATGAATTTCACTTTACATTGTATACTGGGGCTTAAAGCAAATGCTGATTTACATGCAGTGTATTTTCTGATTGCAAATCTATAATTAGAAATTAGTAACATTGTGATAACCAACACTTCATTCATTTAGAAGCTTTTTAAAAGCACACCTTTGAATAATGTAAAGCTCAGATTAAAAAATGAGATAATTCAACCACATTTGAAACGGAATAACAATGATTGCACGTGTCAGAACTATACATGCATGCAGCTAAAACAGAGTGCACTTAGAGGGCAATGCATAGCTGTACTCATATGTATATTATTAGATAGAAAGAGAAAAAGCAACAAGTGGAGTCTAAATGAAGATAGAAAACTGAATAAAAAAATAAGATAAACATCTAGGAATGAAAGAAATGTATCAACTACAGAATAAATTTACATCTTGGAGAGTTAAGAGACAGGAATAGAGATAGCTACATTGTAAAATGTGTATAAATTACTTGAAAATGTGTATAAATTACTTTAAAATGTGTATAAATTACTTTAAAATGAAAATGTGTATAAATTAATGTGTATAAATTGAAAATGTGAATAAATTACTTTGAAAATGAAATGTGTATAAATTACTTGAAAATGTGTATAAATTACTTTAATAACATTACTGAAATATAATTCACATACCATACAATACCCTCATTTAAAGTGAACACATCATTGGTTTTTAGCACACTCACAAAATTAGGTAGTTATCATAACCTCCCTTACTCTGTAATCACACCACTAATGTACTTTCTGAATGTACCTCTTCAAGACATTTCATGTAAGTGAAATCATGTAATATTTGATCTTTTGTAACTAGATTCTTCTGCTTAGCACAAACTTTTCAAGATTCATTCATTTTATAGCATTATCAGTGCTCCATTCTTTTTATGGCTAAATAATATTTTATTGTAGGACTGTACACCATTTTGTTGGTTCACTTACCAGTTAAGGTATTTATATTATTTCCACTTTGGACTATTATGAATTTGTATATCAGTTTTTGTGTGGACATGTGTTTTCATTTCTCTTTAGAATTGCTGAGTCAAATGGAAATTTCATCATTAATTTTTTGAAGAGTTTCTGACCGTGCTCCAAAGTGGTTGTACCATTTTATATTCACACTAGCAAGGTATGAGGGTCCCACTTTGTCTACCCCCTTACACTTGTTATTATCTGATTTTTTATGATAGCTGTCTTACTTGGTGCGCAGGGGTTTTGATTTGTATTTGCCTAATGATAAGTGATACTGAGTTTATTTTCATGTGCTTATTGACCATTTGTGTATGTCCTTTTGGAAAATATCTATGCAAAACCTTTGTCCATTTTTAATCAAGTTATTTGTGTGTGTGTGTGTGTGTGTGTGTGTGTGTGTGTGTTTGAGTTATGGGGAGGGGTGAGTGTTTTTATATATAGTATTCTAGGTATCAGCCCTTACTCCCAGATGCGACTTGCGAATGTTTTCTCCCATTCCACAGTTTGCCTTCTTGCTCTGTTGATCGTGTCCTTTGATGCATAAGTTTTTAATCTTGACAAGGTCTGCTTTATGTATTTTTTTCTTTTGCTATGTGTGCTTTCAGTGTCATATCCAAAAAATCATTGCCAAATCCTGCCACTAATTTTTAAGCACCCAGACTGTTGTCATTGGGATGAATGAATGAGGGAATGATTTAAAGAATTTTGAAGTCAGTTATTCCTACCCAAAAATTTACTTTTACCATTATGGAAGATTTTCATAATGATCCATCCAATGCCAAATTTCTCCTGCATCTTTATTTTCCTGATTATTGCCAAATGCACTGGACTGTAAATAGAAAGCATGGAAATAGCACATTCTGTTGTGATCCTGTTGTTCCCCATGAGGAACGGTGATCAAAATTATTGCCAAGTACCTTTATTAGGAAAAGAAAATTCTTAACTGATTAAAGACCATGGATATTATATATCAACTATAAAATTATTTAATTTTCCTGCTTCATTTTTAAAATGCTGAATTTCACTTGTTTATGTAATAGAGCTTTTAAACTTCAAAGACTGTGCATTTTGAAAAGAATTTCTCATGCTTGTGATATTCATTTGAAATTAAAATGGCTCTCTGCAATGTGAAACTAGCTAGAAGGTATGTACTTTAGAATAAAAGGGGAAGAGCCCTCGTATTATTGCTAATTTATACTGACTTAAGATACAGCTTTGTACTTAGATGGGAGCAAATGCATTTCTTTTTTTGAAGTCGTCGAGTAATTCATGGACTATCTATGGCAAACATCTTGAGCAGCATATAAGAACTTACTTGTTTAAGCTTTGTAGTTGTTGGTTAAACCATCATGTATTTTTTTCAAGCTAGGTTTTAATAAAACCTTGAACTTGTGTAGTAGAGTATGTAGAAGACTCAATAGAAGCATAACGCTTGGTTCTCCTCCCTCAGAGAATCTGCCTGCTACATTACCATATCAAAGGTAAAATAACAGCTACTTACCAGTCAGAGCCCTAAGAAAGTAAAGGCGGCTTGTGTGTTCTGAGACGGCCTCAAGGAGGTGGAGCTATGTAGACCAGGAGAGTGAAATCTGATTAGAGTGGGCTGAGACAGGGAGCCATATATCCAGGAAAGTGCAGTGGCATGAACAAGGGTCCCATCTGACGGAGGGTGGTCTGTGGCAGATACTGAGGCAGAGGAAGCTCATCACTTGCGCCTTGAACAGTTGGTGGCCGGGGGAGGGCAGACTACGGGAGCTGGCATAGTGTTTCATGCTTGATCCAGTCAGCTGCATAGAGATGTTGTGGGTTCTGATGAGGGGCATGGCAGGAAAACCCAGTGGAGGTCCTAGAGTTTTGGAGATAAAGGGGGTTCTGAAAGCAGTGAATCAATGTCCCCTTTTTACTGAGGCCAGGGAAATGAAATAACTCGTTCAAGTTCACCCAATTAGAAAATTGCAGATTTAGATCTCAGATTTTCCTTTAAGTCTACTGATCTTTCTTTCAGAATAGATTAAGGGAAAAGAAAATGGACAGAAAGGATAAATAAGAAGGGTGTTGGTTGGGAAGAGGTCAGAAACGTGTAACTACTTCGTGTGTTTGTGTATGTGTTTGGGTGGTATCAGGGACTGAACTCGGAGCGCTGAACTACATCCCCAGACTTTTTTATTTTTTCATTTTGAGACAGAGTCTTGCTAAGTTGCCTAGGCTGGCCTCAAACTTGCCATCTTCCTGCTTCAGCCCACCAGGTAGTTGGGATGACAAGCATGCGCCGCCATGTCCAGCAGATTATTTTCTTTAGTTATGAATGAGGCAGATAAATACTTAGAGAATTCCATGAAGGACCAAGTTGGGGGCTGTTGCTGTTGTTGTTTTTAAGAGAGTCTCACTGTGTACCCAGGCTGGCCTCGAACTCATGTCTATCCTCCTGCCTGAACTTCCCGAGTGCTGGGATTACAGGCATGTGGCATCATGCCCAGCTAGGACCAAGTTATTTTTCAATAAATATCTTACAAGTACCATTTATCTAAAGAAAATGTTTACCACTATCTAAAGAAAATGTTTTCTTTCACAGATTCACCTTTTTGGAGCTTTGCTGGCCATTTTAGGAAATCTGGTAATAAGCATTTCCTTAAATATTCAGGTAAGAAAAACTTTATTTTTCTAGCTCTGTAATTTGATCCAGGAATATAATGTTTATCTCCATTAAAAAATATTTTTAAATATATTTTATGATCCTATTGGTAGAGAGACAAATATAATCCAGGCTAGATTACTTTCATTTTTTATTCTAAAATAGACTAATTTTTTTCTTTTTTGGCCTCCAGAAGGAGTACTGTGGCTTCTAGACAAGGTGGCCACTATGTCTAATGAATGAATCACCTGCCTTGATTCTCATCATCTTGATTTCTTCTACAGCCCTAAACCCAGATGAGACACAAAACTTTTTAGAAGCATTTTATAGGGGTACAGATTTTTTTGTTGTTAAATACATGTTATGTTAAATATATGGCGGCCAGGAAGCAGAGAGAAAGAGAGGAAGGAGCCGGAGTCCCCACATCCCCTCCAAGGGCGCACAGTGACCTCACTTCCTCCAAGTAAGCCCCACCCTCTAAAGGCTCCACCGCCTCCCAATGGCACCAAAGGCTGGCAACTGAGCCTTCAACACGTCAGCCTTCGGGGACATTTCAGACCCAAATGATAGCACTGATAGAAATATTCAAGAATATAAAAGGAAAAAGTAAAATGTCCCTCATTGCTCAGGAGTAACACTATTAACTATGTATTTTTTTCACATCAGTATCTAAGCATGAACAGCATACACGTAATTGGGTGGATGTTACAAAACGTATATACACTGTAACCATCCTGTATGGCAGGACATATGAGTTGATTTTTGCAATTATGAATAATAATAAGATGACTATCTTTCTGGATGTATTATATCCTAAATATGTATGTAAATATTCTGCAGCTCAAAGGATGTATTCATTTTAAATATTGCTAGGACCACAGAAACTGATCTAGATGGCTATACCATGTTCATGTTACACTTCCATGCAGTTTGGCTGTGACTATTCCCCATATTCTCAATGCATATATCATTAATTACTTGGTAAGGTAAGAAAACACATCTGATAGACAAAAATGGTGCTGTATTGCATTGTTTTATTTGTTTGCATTTCCTTGATTACTCATGGGTTTAAGAGTCTTTTCTCAGTTGTAATTTTACTCGATAAATTACCATTTCATAGCCTATGAATAAAATCTCTTGGATTCTAGCTAATCTCTTTATAAGAATTCCCTTCATAATAATATTAACCATTTGTCATATATATTGTTTTCTCCCACTCTATTGTCTGTGCCTTCATTTTGTTCATAATATTTTTACATAGAGAAAAAATTTTTAATACAGTAAAATACTTGCTTTTCTGGCTTAAGAATTTTGTATCATATTAGAAAGGTGTTCCTTATGCCAAGATTTTTTTTAATGTTTCATGTTTTCTTCTAATACTTTTAAAATTTTCTTTTAAAAAGTTTAAGAAATCTAGAATTGCACAAAATTCTTATAAAGAAGTATGCTTAGTTATAAAATCAGTAGAGAAAATATCTTTATCTAATGATCATTTTTTTTTAGGAATTTATATGTTTGTTTTGTTTTTGTGCTGTTTGGAGTTGAACCCAGGTTCTTGTGCATGCTAGACAACACTCTAGCCCTGAACTACATCCCTAGCCAATTATATGTATTTTTAAATATAAAAAAATACAAACCCAATGAAAAAAGTCAAACTGCCTCAGCCACCCTATTACCAAAGCAACCTTTATTCTGCTATGTTAATTGTGATAGGAACTTTGACACATAAATCTCAATCCTTTTTTAAAACTTTCCTCTTTAAGAATTTGTTATCTTTATTAATGTTATTTTAGCACATGGAATTATTTGATATTCTGAAAGAATTATTTTGGCATACACCTTCTCTTTTCTTTTTCTTTTCTTTTTTTCTTCTGAGCCAAGGTCTCACTATATAATTCAGGCAGACCTTGAACTCACTGTGGCCCCCAGGATGGCCTCAAACTCGTAGGATCTTCCTGCCTCAGCCTCCTGTGTGCTGGGTTATGGGTGTGCACCACCATGCCTGGCACACCTCCTCTTTAAATAGTAATGATTTCACCTAGTTTACAGAATTGTTACGATAATAAAGCAATGTGCATATACAAAAGGCTCTGCAAACCGTAAAGTGCCATATAAATATGTATGCTCCTGCTGATCATACGTTTGAGATAAAGAGGAACTCATAGTAATTTCTCTACAACAATCTGCAGATAAATTTAAAAGCTGTGATACAAATTTATGGAACACAAAATTTCAAAGCAAGTTTGAACTGGATAGACATGTTTTCTTACTGACACTCTGATTTACTTCCAGAAATATTCTCATCTTCAGTTGGCACAACAAGAGCACCCAAGGCCATACTTTAAGAGTGTGCTCTGGTGGAGCGGAGTCCTGCTGATGGCTGTGGGGGAGACCGGAAACTTTGCAGCCTATGGCTTTGCCCCTGTTACCCTCGTTGCCCCGTTAGGCTGTATGTCTGTTACAGGTGGGCCATTTTTCTCTGTTTTGACAAAGGGAAATGTTTTGTTGTTGTTGTTGTTTTGTTTTGTTTTGTTTTGTTTTTGTTTGTTTTTATTTTATTTTAAAGAGAAAAAATAAAAATAAGGATACACAATCTCAAAACAAGATAATAGGAGATTTACATTGGTTTTTATATTGCATATTGTTATCTTGAAAGTAGTTGCTCAGATTACAAGATACAGGCATGCAAAGTTGATCAAACAATGTAAGCACTAACTGTTCCTTTCAGTGAACTAATAGAAATTAGTAGCTATCTTGTGTATATATATATTTTTTCTTTTCCCTTCCTTCTTTTCTCCTGTCTCCCATCCCAGTTCTTCTTTCCTTTTGAGCAATTTCTTTCCCTTTCACAATATCTATTGTACATTTTAGATCTTATTTACTCTTTCAGTTTCTTATACTAGGGAGACAATATGATGTTTACACATGCAGATCTAATTTATTTCACTTGTGAGTATGGTCTCTAGCTGCATCCATTTATGTATAAAACCTCAGGTTTATCCTTTATAGCTGAGTAATAGTCCATTGTATAAAAATACATCTTTTTCATCAGTTCTTCAGTTGATGGGCATTTGGGTTGTTTCCAAGATGTCGCTATGACAGATTGAGCTGCTATAAACATGGGTGCATATATATTGCTGTGGTATGATGCTTTTAATTCTTCTGGGAAAATACCCAAAAGAGAAATAGCTGGGTCGAATGGGACCTCTAATCCTAGTTTTTTAAAGAATATCCACACTGATTTCCACAGTGATTGCACTAGTCTACATTCTCACCAACAGTGGAGAAAGGTTCCTTTATCCCCACAGCCCCTCCAGCATTTGTTATTGGTTGATTTCTTGATGATAGCCATTCTTTCTGGGATGAGATGGAATCTCAGTGTTGTTTTAATTTGCATTTCTCAAATGACCAATGATGTTGAACATTTTTTCATATATTTATTTGCCATTTGTATTTTTTATCTGAGAAGTGTGTATTCATTTCAGATGCCCATTTTCAGAGTGGGTCTTTGAATTGGGAGGGTTATTTTTTTTCAACTCTTTATATGTTCTAGATAGAAGTCTGACAAAGGGAAATGTTAAGAAATCAAAATAACTGGCAAAAAAACATACAGCACAGAAAAGAAAATCTGTTCCTTGTTTTCTTAGCACATTGATCTGGAATTGTGCTTCTGTGTCAGTCCCCCGTCATGCTTCCACATTCACCATGGAGAAGGCTGCATTTCGTATCTTCACCACTGACATGGAAAAGCCTGATTCTCAATGATTGTGTCTTGATAAGTTAATACTAACTGAAAATGTTACACTTCTGTTTTTAATCATTAGTGGATTATCTAAAAGCATTTGTAATGCAGTTACATTTTATTCATACACTAAACTGACATTAGATATAGTTAGAGTCTTTGATGTCAGATCTTGACTCCATAGTTTGACATTAAAAATTAAATATTGGTTATTCGACATTACCATAAGAATGTGCAATTTTACAGTAATGTCACAATTATGTACTTTCAAAATGTGTGTGGTTTATTAAATACATTTAGAAAAGAGTAAAATGAGATGTTGCCAAAGACTTTTTTTAAAAAAGAGCAAAAATCACTACTAAATGTAGAACAAGTCTCTAAGCCTTGTTAAAAATCAATAAAGTCTTTTTTGGTTTTACTCTTTATCTGCTGCTATGGAAACAGCATGCTTCTAAATTTCTTTGAATTTAGGACCTTCGTTGAAATATTGTGAACAGCTAGATCATGCATACCATGTGCTCATGTATCTCAGTTTTCATATTTCTCCTAAAATGATGTGCTATTCTTAAAGAAAGCATAGTTTGAATTGAAATAATATATACTTCATCTTATTTTGAAAGTAGCTTCCCATTCTCAATCTTTTAAAATGTCTTAAAATACTTCCATGATGTACAATACTAGAGTATTTTCCAAAACACTTACTTTGCTTTCTAGAAATTTAGTGCAGAATCCCTGTACTGATCCTACCCTGTAGAGGCAAAAACTTATGTAGTCATTTACCATTTTTAGCATCCCAATAAAACAACCAAAGTGTGTATATCTTATCTCCTGTTTACTGCGTAGAACACATTCATGGGCATTCTAGGCTTTTTTTTTTTTCTTCTCAAAATATAAGAATAACAGATCTTCTTAGATTGTCAGATCTTGTTAGATTGTCAACCTGGAACCTTTCCAATTGTCCCGAAAATGTTATACTGTTTTTCTGGTTGACCCCATTTAATTTTGTTTCTTACTTTGTTTTATGCTGAGGCTCCGTGAAGTAGCTGAAGGAAAGTAAGTGACCAGGCATATACCTGGGGAAGGTGGAGTGTGCCACATTGTATTAAGATTCATTTAGCTCCTGTCTCCTACTTCTAGGAAACCCTGTTTTTAGTGGTGTATGGGGTGGGAGAGGGTGACAGGGGTTCAGGGTGAGAATTCAGAAACTGACAGGACTAAGTATCAGCAGTGTCACTCCTTCAGGCCTCCCATGACGCTGTCTGTGAAGGTACCCATCCTGCCTTGACTTCCTGAAGCTCTCATTAATAAGCAGAAGCTTAAGCTTCCTAAGCTTCCTGTTAGAAGAGTCCTGTTCTTCCAGCTCCTCTGCAGAGCCAGTCCCCGACTCCCATACTTGGAACTCACTGCCTAGACAGATAGGCTTTTTTTAATGCTGCAGCTCATTTTGTTTGTGTGCTCTTATTAACACCAATTAATGTTTCAACCCCAATTCACCCCAATTAATGTTCCAACTTCAGGATACTTTAGCGGCTGGGGATTTAGCTCAGCGGCACAGCGCCTGCCTGGCAAGCATGAGGTCGTGAGTTCGATTGCCGGTACTGGAAAAAAACGAAAACAAAAACAGAATACTTTAGCCACCTCTTCCTCGGACCACTTAAAATGATCCAGAGAAATGCATTGTTATCTTCAGACACAAATCACGTCCTCCTTTACAGTCTTTGAGAACAGTAAAGAGCACTAGCTTTATTACGCATACGGTTGCTAGTATGTCAGAGCCGCTACTTGGTCACTTTCTGGTACAATAAATAAATAAATTAATAAATAAATTAATTAATTAATTAATTAATTTTAAAAACCCACTGACCGGCAGTGCTTTAAATGGAGCAGCTCAAGGGACAACAAGTTCTGCAGAAAACCCTTTAGGCAGTGCTCACAGACAGTCACATCCTGCTGGAGATTCAGCCCAAAGAAGCCAAGCAGTGGAGATTGTGCAGTGGGAAGAACCCGAATGCACAGGGAGGTCTGAGGGCCCACGCCTGGCTCCAGCTGTTTGAGAGAGTGTTGGAGCCTTTTTACCCTTGTATCATCACTTTACTTTTCTCCCCAAAGGTCTCTCTTAAAGGTCCCGGAGCTTACCCAGACTAACATGCTAGTTATACCAGCAGTGTGGTTAATTCTACATGTAGATTTGTGTTTCCATTCATTAAGAAAGCTCACTGGTTTCCAGTTTCACCTAGAGCCCGGCTGGCTGTCAGCCCGTTAAATAGGCAGTAGAATGGTCAACAGCAGATGCTCCAGGAGAACTCGGCCGAGGATCAGATCTCAGTGCTGCCCTGACGAGCCCAGTGACCCCGGCATGTTGTCTCAAACTTGTGCCTCACAGTGCTAATCTGTAAAGTGGGAGCAAAACCAGTTCCCACTTCAGAAGTGACAGTGAAGAACTAAGTAAACACAACCACTGAAAAACTATATTTGACATAGGACAACACTAGCAATTGTCACTGTGACTTACGGTGATCATTGGTATACATAGAAACAGAGTACGTTACAGTTGCATGTACTCCCATACCCCAAAGATGGCTGACAGTTAAATTCCCTGAACCATTTTTCTTATCTATGCAGTGGCTAATTTACAGGGAACAGAAAGGTAGGATCTTCTCAGGTCATTTGCTCAGCCATTAAACAGCAATTACCCTCCATTCATCCTCATTTTCCTACTGAAACATGTTGAGAAAAATACCAGAATTTCCAAATAACAAATCGAGATAAAACCCATTTTGCGAAACAGGTACAGGAGTTGTAGGAGGAAAAGCGCAGTGACCTAGCCATGTGCAACTCGCCGTCTTCGTGCTCCGGCTGCACAACGCTTCTGTTTACTTGAAGATTAGTTGCAGAGGCCAACGGCAGATTTCTTTCAGATCCAACTGCAATTTGAGAATGTGTTCTCAGAGAAACTGTTTTTATATAAGTTGGATGTTCTGTGAAGTTTGTAGTAAAATTTTAAACTGCCCATCCTTCTGGTCTCAGGTAACCCCTCTCCCTCAGGAGGCCTTTCCAGGCCTGAAGATGAAGTTAAACAGCCTAATTTGTTGGCTTTCTTCACTCCCTACACAGGCCCTCCTCATACCTGTGTGGTGCCATTTTGTGAATTAGAAAAGACAGCCCTTTCTTATGATACACACTTTGTTTCTGTCCGTCTTTAAATAACTGTAATACATTAATTTTATTATAACAGGAAACTCTGGTGCCATCTGTCAGAAAACTGCTCTGGGAAATACACAAACTGGTGTGGTCTGAGAGGCAAATGGAGCCCTCATGCATTACACAGCTGACACAATTGCCCACGTCGTCAAGGTGCCCCTGACGTCTCCTTGCCCTCAGCAACACTCATCCCGCTCACGACCTGTTAATTTCCATCCTCACCATTCACCTGAGCCCTGGGGGGCTGTGTGTGTCTCCTATGGACAGGTCATCCGCTCTCTCCTGCAGGGAGCAGCTCAGGGACATCACAGTTACTCCTATCTTAATGCACATAATCCAGCCTATCTAACTGGAATGAATTTGAATTTAAATAGGGTGTTCTGCTATAGAATATTGGAAGAGAAAAATGCTTGCTTAAAGATTTCTATTCTGGATGAAGCAGTGAGCAAACAGTTCACTCCAAGGTACTCATGAATATTCACTCAGATTTCCAAGCCTGTCCCTGCGGTGTTGGGCTATGT